TCTGGCCTGCATCATCTCTGGACCACATAACTGCAATAACTTCCCAATCATAGCCCAGCTTCCAGTTTGACACCTTTCCACCCAGTACTCTGTCTCCTGTTGAAGTGGACTTTCCAAAACACAAATATGATGCCGTATGGACTGATTTATGCTTCCTCAAATGCAAGGGGTGCTTTTTACCTCTATGCCTTTAGGGATGCTGGAATGCCCTGTTCTCTTTCTTTGTCTAGCTAAGTGTCCTATTCATCCTTCAAGACTCAATACGAACGTCATAAAAGCCTCTTTACCTTCCCAGTTTTTCCTTTCTGATGATTGGCCAAATGACCCTTCTCCCCAAGAATTTTGAGCATAGTTCTGCCATAGTACTTATCCTAAATGGCAATTGCTTTTTTCCTTATCTGTCACCTCCACTAGACTAAGCTCCTTGAGAGCAGTAACTATACTATCTCTCTGTCCCCCGCATCTAACATGATCTTTTCCAAGGCACTCTATGCATGCATTATGTATTATCTTTGAAGACAAAGGATGAAAAAAAAGATGGAGAAAATATGAGCTAATTCACAGAATCTTAAAATTTCTGATGGAATTACATCTACTTTTTTTTGTCCTTAATAACTTTAAATTGTTTTTAATTTTTTTCTACCCATAAAAATATCTCATTTGGCTTGTTTCATAGCTGTAGAAATAATATTGGTCTCTATTTCTTACTTATATTTTTCACCTCTAGAAGTTTCTTCACTAGTAAAGTCTCAAATACTATTTTAATAAACAAATTGTTTGTGTTTGACTTTATATAATTACTGATATTCAATACGAATTGCCAATTTACATGTAATTCTCTCTTTCTGACCAATCTTTACTAATTTTATAATCAGACTAAGTATCACATTTTATATCAAATCTAATATTTGTCACAAGAGAATGTTATCCATTCTGGATGCCTTGTTAGAGTTATTCCTGTCTAATCCCAAAAGTTAGCAATATCTGTCCTAAAAAACTACAAAAGTGTTATGCATCTTTGAGGGATAAAAAATGAATTCCTGGTATTTCCTGGAGGAAAAAATAGTTAGATAATATTATCCCTCGATTCATTGTCATTATACAGAGGAACAAGAATCTGATTATATTGAATATATAATCTCAAAGATGATATTCTTTAAAAAAATTAAATGTTAGTGGATTGATCAAAGATCCAGGCTGAGTTCAGTTCATTTTTTATACACCAGATAACATCTATCCTTGAATTAGCTAAGTAAAAACAATATTGATATATTATTTTTCAAATTATGAGCCTCATAACCCCAGTTCTTTAAGTATTCAGAAACCATCTTGTCCCATAGAATGTCTTATCAATGTTATTGAGACTAGCTACTGAATTTTATTATGTGTAATATAAGTTTTTGCTTTTCTTTAAAAGTAATATTAGGGACAACTTGCAAGCATTGAAAATTACAGTTCTGTGCTAGAACCACAAATATTCCAAACCAATAATGTATTGCTTCTTACCAATTTTAAAACTGGATATTTCAAATTATAACCATAACAAACCCATTTTTTTTACATTATGGATCTAATATAGTCCCATAACTTATGTATTTTCCTATATTTTAATGTTTAAGTAATTATCTGCATTTTGGACTGTGTTTTTCTTAAACATAATTTGTATCTTTTGTTTATTGTGAAATCAGCATGGAACTATAGGCAGAGCATTCCACAGAAGTTGCTAGTCGGTGCTTAGATAACATATTATCTAAGCTGCTGTCTTCATTAACACTAAGAGGAGAGCTCTAATAATCTGTTCTAAATAATTACAATAAACACTTCATTCAGTATTTACTGTATGCTTTACTGTTATTGTTACAGCACAAAAGCAACAGATTAGCTTATTTGTACTTTTCTAAGTACCATCTACTTTTCTACTAAGACCTGTATCAAGAAATCATTAAAAATATTTAAAAAACATGGAAGAGATCTGAATAAATGGCTAACTATTATAGGAAGATGTTATTTCTACTTAATTATGCCTATAGATTAAGTACAGTTCCAATGAAAATCCAAACAAGGTGTTTTGAGGGACCTGACAAGCTAATTATAAAATTCTTGTAGAAGAGCTGTGGCCCAAGAAGAGCCCAGAAACTTATGAAGAATAAGGTGAGCGACTTGCTAGCAGTTCACTATGTCAAAGCTTATTGTAAAGCAACAGTAATTGTACTGTGGCATTGCAGCAGGGTTAAACAAATTAATCAACGAAACAGAAAAGAGGGCCTAGAAATAAATCCATGCATATATAGAAACTTGATACGTAATAGAGACTGCATTTGCATATCAGTGTGGGGTTGTGCCAATTTGTTAGCCATATAAAAAAAACTAAATTGTGTTTCTATTTCACACCAGAGCCAAAAATCAATTTGGGGTGTACTGAAGTCTTAAATGTAAAAGGCAAAACTGGAAAATTTTTTGAATAATGAACCTCTATGATCTTGGGGTGGGAAAAGCTATCTTGAACAAGAAATACTGGTAAATGTGACCACATTAAAATTTAAAACTTCTGTTTATCAAAAGATGCCATAAAGAAAATGGAAAGGCAAGCCACAAACTCTGAAAGATATTTGCAACACATATGATTGATAAAGGATTTATGTGTAGAATATATAAAGAAATCTTGTAAACCAGTAAGAAAAAGAAAATCCTAAAAAACAATTACCCAAAAGAAACAAATGTACATTGCATAGAAAAGGAATAGCCTGTAGGCATATGCTTTGGGGAAATGCTTGCAGATCTATACCAGGGAACATCGCAAGAAAGAACATAGCATTGTTTATAATACTCTTGGTTGGCTTAAGAGCAGCTGCCAGTTAACAGGGCGTTCAAGCTCAACTATAATCAACTACACCGAAACCTGGAAACAACCTCAATGACCATCAGTGGTGAAATGGATAAATAAAACGTATAACCACAGCAAAATATTACACAGCTGTAAAAGTGAATTGACCTGCAACTACATATAATAACATGAATGAATATTAAAAACTTAATTTAAGTGTAAAAAGTATATCCAAGGAGACTGCTTACTATAACATTTTTATAAAGCTCACTGTAGAGCGAAGCTGAATAATACATTGGACATGTGTGGTAAAACTGTTTTTAAAAACAAGTAATTATTAAGCCAAAATTCAAATTAGTAATTTTCTCTGGGAAAGATGTAGAGTGTGGAATTGGGAGACAGCACACCACTAGATTCAACAGTGCCGGTAATACCGTAGTTCTTTTTGGGAACAATAACTTCATGGATATTAATTTTATAATTTTACATATAGCTTACATATATTTTTCTATGTATAAAATATTACATAATAAAAAATATTAAAAAAAAATGGTAAAGCAACTGGTATTGAATGCTGTTGAGAAGTGACCATTGTTTTGGGTCCATGAAGAACATTGCAGGCCATGAAAAGGCTAGTGAGCTTAGGAAAAAAATAAGTGAAAAAGTGGAGGCAGTGAATATAAGCAACTTTTTTCATAAAATTTTCAGTGATGGAGAGTAGATCCCAGGGTTTTACTTTGTTTTGTGTTAAGGTGGACATTCTGGAACATTTTTGTATGCTGTCAAGAATGTTTCAGAAGGGAAAACTTCGTTTAATAATATCTTGATTTCCTCCAGTAAATTGTTTTCTCTCCTTAGTTGCCATCATCTCAGTAAATTGTCCTGTCATCTGCCCAGTTGCTCATACCTAAAACTAGGAGTCATCTTTGACGTTTCTCTTTTGCTCCTTTCCCACATTCAACCCATCACCAAGTTAAAGTTACCAACTTTAGTATTAAAATATTTTACCGAATCTATCTATGTACTGCTTTCCATCTAGATATGGACCATGTCTAGAATGGACCACTGCAGTAGCCTTCTACTAGTGTCCTCAGTGGTCTCCTGTCTTCCACCTTTTGCTTCTTATAATTCATTCTCTGCATAGCAGATGGACTGCTCTTTTACAAGTATCGGTTGGGGTCATGTGCATTCTTACTCTGAAGTCTTCCAATGGCTCCCTATCATTTTTGAAATAAAGTCAAAACTTCTTAACTAGCTTACAAGGGCCCTCCAAGATTTGACCTCTGCCTGTCTCTTTTGACCTCATATCACATCACTGTCTCCTTTGCTTACTATTTCAGCCACGTTAGACTTCTCTGAGTTCATTGAGCTCAACACGTTCTTTTCTGCCTCAAGGCCTTGGCAGTTGGCATTCCCTCTCCCTGGAACACTTTTCCTCTAGATTTAAAGATAGAGCTGGCTCCTTTTGGAATCAAGTCTCTGCTCGTGTTAACTCCTCAGACATGCCTCCCTGGTCACTCTAATAGGGTCCTATTCAATTCTATCTCATTGTCATGGTTTAGTTTCTTCATAACACTTGTAAACTATCTGAAATTACAATATTTACCTGCCTTCTTATGTGATTATTGTCAGTCATCCTCCACTAAAATGTAAGCTGTATGAGAGCAGGGTCTTGTCGTTCTTGTTTAGCAGTATATCCTCAGCCCCTAAAATAGTGCCAGGCATATGTAGGTACTCAGTAAGTGTTTGATGAATGAATGAGAACAGGAAACTACCTAGGTATTTATTCAGGTTTTGTATCCTCTTTGATCATGGAGATAATTATATATTGAAATGCATGAAAATGAAAATTGTTTCTTTGAAAAATAAATGTACTCTTTTCCCCAGAAATCAAAAGTATATAATTTAACCATAGTTTATTATTAAGGCTTTGAATATAGATATGTCTCTATTATTCATGTAGTTAATTTGTAAAATAGTAGAACTAAGAGAACATTAATTTTTTATTAGCATTAAAACCGTTTTTAGTATCTATGATATAGTTTATTAGAAAAGTTTGAGAATTTGACAGCTTCCTTAAAATTTAAATCTCTTCTTCATTTGAAATGTGAAATAGGTATTTTTTAAATATCAAAATATTATTATTCTAAATAACTATACTTTTCTCTTTTCTCAGGATATTATTGCTGGATTCCTGTATACTATTTTAATCTTAGCTGTCTTCTATCCATTTGTGGACCTGATTGACAACTTCAATCAAACTCACAAATATGCTCCATTAATCATCATCGGGCTTCATTTAGCCTTGGGGATTTTTTCTTTCACCCTTGACACCTGGAGTACATCCCGAGGAGACACAGCTGAGATTCTAGGAAGTGGTGCTGGCATTGCATGTGGCTCTCATGTTATTTATAACATGGGTGTAGTATTTGATCCTTCTTTAGATATATTACCTTTAACTAGGCCCCCCATTACTGTGACTCTTTTTGGAAAAGCCATTTTGCGGATCCTCATAGGGATGGCATTTGTACTAATAGTCAGAGTTGTAATGAAGAAGATCACCATTCCCCTAGCCTGTAAAATCTTCAGTATACCATGTGATGATGTTCGAAAAGCAAGGCAGCACATGGAAGTTGAACTTCCTTATAGGTATATTACCTATGGAATGGTTGGCTTCTCTATCACATGTTTGGTTCCTTACATATTTTTCTTTATTGGTATCTCTTGATTGAGAAATGTTTATAGTAAGAAAGAAAGATACAGGTTATTGATATCTGAAAATACATTCTAGGAAAAAGCCAGATCAGAGTTAGGCTTTTGCAGGAATTTAACTTAAATAATTATTTAAGTAAATTCATAAGAGTTGTTGTGCATTTTATGATTGCACATCCAGGTATTGTTTTAGGTGAGCTGAGCTATTTCAACACTGAGAAAATAAGTGTTCATTTAGAATATACATGTAATTTTTGGAAATTTTAGTGCTGTTATGGATTCAAGTTATATATAACATATATTAAGGTACATAATATGCATTATATATCTAATATATTTTATATATAAAATAATATACCTAAGTTTTTTAAAACTATGGGATCTATTATAAAATCACTAATAATATGCAAACAGTTGTGCCTGTGCATTTGGACTTAATACAGGTATGTCGTTACTAACAGATATATTAAACATTTATTTACTATGGGAACCATTTCCTAATTGAATTGTGTAATTACTAGACCAGAATTCATATGCTACCACATGTTAATTTACTGCCTTTTTTTTACACTGCCATCACCTTTCATGTTACCCATGATGTCGAACGTGGGAGGCATTTTTAATGGACCAAATTTTCAGAAAAGTTAGTTTTTGGATTCCTTAATTTTTTTTTTAGTTCTGTATTCTGTGTTGAATGTACTTTATTTGCAACTGTTCTGGACATCAGTTTAATAATTCAGGTACTGAATTTTATTGCTTGCTAATTGTGCCTTTCAGTTGCTAAATTAAGAAATGCCAGATGTACTGTGATATAAAAACAAGATGCTAACTTAAACTACATGTAATCAGGCAAATATTTTTAAAATACATGTCAAGCTAACAGGGATAGAAGTAAACCATCCTTAACTATTTAGCCTTTAGAAAGAAATGTGGAATGGGATAAACTTCCACACTAATTTATTGGAAAGCTAAATGGATAAATGTTTCCATTTTTGTAGGTATTTTCTGCGCATTGTAAGTTTTAGGAACAAGATATATTTTCTGTACATTGTCTTGATTGTTTCTACTACAGGTAGATATTTCCAGTGAATGGAAGTGTAATTGAAATTTATAGATGGGACAATGCACATGCTTCGTATGTAAACAAACCTTTTTTCTAAATTATTTGGAAAGGATTGGATTTAGTAGTGTTAACTTTAATACCCATTTATTAACTACTTAAGGTAAATTATAAAATCTAAAAGTAAGTATCAGTATTTTAGATCCTATTATTTTTTTCAACTTTTTATTATTTTCGCAGTGGAAAATTTGGGTATAGTATTAAACTATTCCTTATTCTGTCTGCGCCTTTATATTTTGAAGCATGATTGTAATTAAGTTGATATTAAGTTTATTTGTAATAAAAAGAAAATTAACTTTCCTGATAAATGAACATCAGCTATGGAATTACTGATTTTAGTGCAATGTCTGTATAATTATCCAGAAGTATCACTTAAGATGTTTCTATTTTGGGCAGCATAACAATCTGAGCTCATGTTTTTATAATTCTGATTAAGAATTTAGGGGCATGGTAATTTTCACCAAAACTGAATCTGATAATTTTAAGTAAAGCAACTAAATTTGGGCCCTTTACCCATTAGTTAAGAGGAAACTGAGGCACTTAGGAACATATTGGTACGTTGGGAAATGTGAAAAGACTTTTTTTTTCCAAAATTTGTGTTTAATGAATTGAATTTTAGGAACTATTTTCCGTAAGTTGGGTCTGTGCTATCCTGTTAATTTTATGTGTAGCTTAAAAGGTATTTGAAAATATTCCATTTCTTGTGTTTTATTGTTTTTCTTTCTTATGACGTTTTGTGCTAAATGTATTTTAAAATAAAAGCCAAATTCAAGATTGAATGGGGTTTTTTGTTTTGTTTTATTTTGTTTTGGTTCAGTTTGGTTTTTTACCTTCTATTCATCTGTCTCTGTATTACCTGGTAGAGGTTTTAAAAAATATCCTAGGATTTTCATTCTATCAGGCTTTTCCTCTGAAGCATTTTGTTCAGAATCAAAGTACTGTTTTTAGCAATAGACGACAATTAAGAGACTCTTTAAGGTTCAAACTGACTTTTGGCTCTACTTATGAACATTTCCAACATTGTACTTTTCGTGAAGCATTTAATAATACTTCTAAAGAAAACTTACGTGTAAAAAGTGGTTTCATTTAAATCTGTGGCTAATAGTATTATAGGTAACCAGTTGCTGTCAAGTCAGTTCCAACTCATGGTGACCCCATGTGTGTCAGAGAAGAACTATGCTCCATAGAGTTTTCAATGGCTGATTTTTTCGAAATAGATCAGCAGGACTTTCTTCCATTGCATCTCTGGGAGGACTCAAACCTTAACATTTCAGTTAGCAGCAGAGGTTGTTTACTGCTATTCTATTAATGTTAGGAATTAATCATAAGATTAGGAGCAGATACTTTTTCAAGCAGAATAAAAACATATGGACATTGCATTTATTTTGTTTTAAAATTCCATGATATATGAATGATTAAAACTAGGTCTGCTAGAAACTTAATTATAAGACCTAATATAAGGCAATGCTACCACAAGATTCACATAATTATTTATATTTTCTCTTCTGATTTTCTTTACAAGTCACATTATTACATGTCACTTTTGAAGAGGACGTAAATTATTCAGTGAAATGAATAGAATTTAAAGGCAAATTTTCACAAAACATTTGTTAAAGATGAGTAAACACTAAAATGTTTTTATTTTGAATATATAATTACATTTACAATTTTATATGGCAAAGGTTTTTTTTAATTGCTGAAGCCATTTTATTCTTGTTAACAAAGAATATTTATTCTGAATTTTAAAACTAAAATATTTATTCTGGGCATCAATAAGGACTATTTTTTTTAATTCAGCTTTACAGTTGAATGAGTTTTTCTGAAGGGAGTTTTTGTTGTTTGCTAGAGATTTTTTGAGAAAGAGGCAACAATTTGAGTCATTGAACATAGTCATTGAACAGTTACTCTGCTGGGTATTTTGTTAGATTTTAGTCACATTCTTCCAGCTCCTTTTGAAGTGTGCGTAAGTTAAAGAGAAAAACACTTTTATACTTGAATTTTAATTATGGTTACATAAGTTATAAATAGCACAATAAAAATACATTTTAATATGCTAATTGTAAATACTTTTACAGGATACTTTGAAAAACGCTTCTCTTTATTTTTAAGGCTACCAGACCAATACAGATCTTTAAGGAAAACATACCTTTTTCGTGATACACATAGGAGGGAAAATTCAAATGAAAATAAAAGAAACTTTTTTTTTTAATAGAAATGTTTAAGGAAATAAATATTTTTGAAAAACCTCAACTAGCTGGTTTTTCTCTCTCCCATTAAAGTGAGTAATTCACTTTTGGATCCTAATTAGTCCTCTGCCTGCCCCTTATTCTTCTCCAAATATGGAATTGAATATCTGATAGTGGCAATTTATGAGCAGGATAAATGTACTTTGATAACTAGTAACTGTTACTGACTGTTGATGCTGAAAATTTTTAGTGTGGAAGTTCTCTTGGCCTGTAAATATGAAAAACCAGATCCTTTCATTGCTTATCTTTAGTCTTGGTACATTTTCCATGCATGTCTGTAAAGCTCATCCCCTGGTACAGCAAGCAACAGGATATGATAGAATATCTAAGGTTGATTTTTTTAAGATTTTCTATTTCGAAATTAATTTTAAAATTGTGTTATGACCTGTATTAACACATTGTATTGTGATGTCTACCACATAATTAGGTTTATTTTCAACCTTAAGTGTCATAAGTACATTATCTTAAAATGTCATACACTTACCTATTATGCTTTTTGTAGTATTTGTTTGATGTAATACATATTTTCAAAGTTTCGTTTGTTAAATGCTGACATATTCTTATAAAATGTAAAATCGATTCTCTTAAAAAAAAAATTTTACTGCAATAGTATTACCTATTCATGTTTGAGGTTTATTCCTTGTCCTAAATTGGGGGTTCTCTTAACCTGAAGTCCATCATAGAACACATCGCAATCTGTCAATCTTATTTATGTTATTATTTACTTTTAAATTTTTCTTTCTTAATCTCTACAATGTAAGCTCCCTAAGGACAAGGAGCTTGTGCATCTATTCTGGATCCTGTAACAATTAATATATGTTGAATGAATACATTAATTATTCAGTCCCTAAACAGGCTTTAGTGTGTGCATTTTTCTAGGGAGAAGTTTTACCACTTTCATCAGATTCTCAGACTTCAATGATCTAAAAAAGTTAAAAATTATTTGTTTCGTAGTCTACCTTCTTGTTTTAGCAGTGTTATTAAACGTTTAGATTGTAAATAAATGCTTTCAATTTTTCTGGTAAGAATTTTGTCACTTTTTATGCAAATATTTAAGGGTTAATCATTCTTGAAAAAAGTTTTTCATGTAATAACTACAGTACTCTGTTGTGTAGAATGTGGTTTGTATCCCAGTTAGTTTTAAGATATTATTTTCTATAGAATTAAAATCAAACTTGAAAGAAAGTATTCTGCATATTCAGGGGTATAATGTTAGTTTCTAGTAATAGTTACATAAATGTCTTCTTGAGAATATTTGTAAAGTTGATCTTTAATCTCATATAAACAGCTACTTCCTTTAAAATTGTAAAGAGATATTTCTAATTAAAATTTAAAATATACTCAGGGCTTATATATCACTATTATTATTATTATTATTATTATTATCTTAAGCAAAGTTAAAGGCTCCCTTTGCACTCCAAAAGTTTCTAGACTCAGATTTATGTGACTCAGTAGGGCTGAGTGAGGTTTGGTGACAAGGAAATGGAGTCTAATTTCCCTACTATTTTAAGTTTCTTCCCTGCTTTATCTGGGTTGATTTAAGGGGAAAAATTCACCAAACTCATTTTAATGGACAGTGTTATTGCTCATTTCTGACTGAAGTGCTGTGATAAAAATCCTGAAATAGTAAAAGCATAGAAACTAAAATAATAATCCTTCAACATTTTCTATTCTGCAAAATGTTTCAAGTAGCTTTGCATAATAAATATTTGAAAATATTTCTGTTTCTTGGAAGTATATTCCAAAAATCTTACTGAAATTATTCGTGGACACAAGGTGTAAATTTTTAAAATTAACATATAACTTAATTTACAAATACCATTAATTGATTGTAAATCTAAATATAGCACTTTCATCTGAAATACTTTTCCACCTTTTCTAAAAATAAATCCTGTATTTTCCCACTATGTTATATATGCTAAAGATAATCATAGAATTATAAATTATTTTAGATATGTATGGGATCTTAGAGTTCATATATAGCAACTTCTTACCCCAATTCAGAAATCTCTTCTACAACATTATTAACGGATAATCATGTGAAATCTTCTCAAATACTTCGTTAGTCAGGCAAACCACAACTTTATAAGGCTTTTTTTTTTTTCATTGTTGAACAGTTCTAAGTGAAGTAAGATTTCGATGGGCTAAAGTCAATGTGGCAGGATCAAGGATAAATTTTAGGTAGAAGAAAGGATGAACCAAAGCATGGAAATTGAATATGTAAGACATATTTCACATGTGAATGTTAAAGTTATACTCCCTTCACTCTCCAAACCCTCCAGTAACCAAACTCGTTGCCATTGAGTAGATCCCAACTCATAGCGACCCTATAGGACAGAGTAGAACCGCCCCATAGGGTTTCCAAGGCTGTAATCTTTATGGAAGTAGACTGCCACATCTTTCTCCCATGGAGTGGCTGGTGAGTTCAAACCATCGACTTTTGGTTAGCAGCAGAGTGCTTAACCACTGTGACACCAGGCTCCAAACCCTCAGTAGAGGGTTGTTAAACTAATGACACACCTAGATACCTTCTCATAGATCATAATGAACTATGCCATGGAGTTCAGGAAGAGTATGCACACCAAGCTACACAGCACCTTTATGTGTTCTACAACAGGAGGACTAGCTCCCAAGGGCCTTACTCTAGGGTTTCCAGACATGCTCTGGGAATAAAGTTGGTGTTCCTGAACTTATCACTCATCCTATCATACCTAAAAATTGTGAAATTTCCTCTCTGGATTGAGGTCAGAACCTATCACACATCTGGCTAACCCCAACTGCTGGAGACATGAGGATTGTGAGGTGGGTGGTGGTGGTGTTGTCTTAGCTGTCATGGAGTCAATCTCCAACCCATGGTGAACCCACCCACAAAGGAATGGTATGTTTCCCAGTCCTGTACCATCCCCATGATTGGTTGCAGGTGTAGGAAAGTTGTTTGCCAGTACAGTCACGGAGGCATCACAAATATATTCTGTATGCTTGAGGTAATCCACAATACGCTCCTGTACACCAAATTTTTTATGATTCAACATTATTGTCCAAGAAGGCTCTTGGCTTTCTCATTAGGTTGTCTATTACCTATTAAAAAAAGGACATGATGACCATGTTGTCTTACAGTTACCTTAATTAGTCGACAAATTATTAGCCTTAATAAGTAGCGTTCACCTGAGACTCACGTCCCAAAAAAACCTTTGGTGACTTTTCCATGATATGGTGTCATAAGTAGAGAAAAAAGAGGAAAGATTGTATACTTTTGTCTTCGGGGGCTTTAAGCTTTTGTATGGCATGATATGTTACACCTTATTCCTTGCCCTTGAAAGACTATCATAAAGCTGGCTTCAGATTCTAGGCTTGCAACCAGTAGCTTTTCCCAAATCCTGATCCTTCCACTTTACAGACCTCTTTTGCTTGTTCTTGTAAAAAAGTCTTTGGTCTGAATTCTATTCTGTGTGAAGATGCTGGTGCCAAACCGGTATTGACTTTCTTGTTCCTGTTTTGTATCCTTTTTCCAATAAATACAGTGAGAAAAGATACCAAAAACCAAATCCGTTGTTGAGTTGATTCCAACTCATAGCGACCCTACAGGACAGAGTAGAACTGCCCCATAGGGTTTCTAAGGAGCAGCTGGTGGATTCGAACTGCCGACCTTTTGGTTAGCAGCCGAGCTCTTAACCACTGTGCCACCAGGACTCTGAGGAAAGATAGATACATTGAATAAAAGACTCAAGCCAGTATGTTATGATGAACGGTATACCCAGAAGTCAGAAAACCAGGATTTTAGTCTTGTTTTTGACAATAATTTGCTATGATACTTTTGACTAGGCACTAGATGCCCTTTCTCCAAGACATGGTTTCCTCACATATAAAATGAAGAGATTGGATTTTGTTTTTTAATATCCTTCTCAACATTAAAATTTACAAACTCTGTTAAGCCAAGCATGTAAAAACAAAAGGAGTATTTCTATTGTTTTCATTAGGATACTGAAATTTAGCAAAAAAGGAACTTTTCACTCACAGAAACATAAAAGACCATTCCTCATTTATACAGATCTCTATAACAACAGTGTAGTCGTGTGCCATTTAATTACGGATCTTGGTGTTTTGTTGCCTCTTGTCTTTGAAGAAAATCTCCTTTCTTGTCTGCAAGAAGTTTGTATACACTCCCTTCTAAGAAAGACACAATTTTCACCAAAGAGAAACAGTGAAGTAATTGCTTTAGAAGGGTTACAACAGGGGGTTACAAGTCTCCGTCATAACTTCTGTGTGAATCACAAGATTTGAAGTGACCACTAGGTGTTACCTAATACAACCTACTATCCAAATAGTTCTGAGCTGAAACCACTTTAAACAGATAGTTCTTTCTTTAAAAAAAAAAAAATGAATGGGGAGAGGGACAGGACAGACACCAAAGATCTTGGTGATTCTGTATAATTCATTCAACAAACATTGCGAGCTACAGAGACGGATATAAATAAATAAAAAAAAGAAAGAAAAGTACATCTCTCCTTTGGGAATTTCAATCAGAACTAAATGAAGAATCAAAGAAGAAAACGCTGAATAAAGAAGGCAAAACTACCTCATTATACACATAAACCTCATATGAACCTTGAAGATTCATGTTACATGTTTGAAAACAAGACCCTTGTAATTCATTCAAAGCTAATTTTAAAATTACAGAGCATATTACCAAGTTATAGTGGTTTTTTTAAATAAAAGTAAACAACATAAAACCACTACCATTGTTTATTAGAATATTTCTAGAATGTAACAATACTTGCTGCAGAAAGGCTTTTTTTTTTTGGTATTTCCCAATAAGTTATATTAGAAAACATGAGGTTATTCTTGAATTTTCATCAGTCAGCTATTTTCTTACAGGGTAATATTTCATAGAAATGAGAAGTTAGTTGCCTCCGAAAATTAGACAATATGGATACATTCTGTTATAAAAAAATTCAAAAGCAGAAGTCTCCTTTTGCCCACTATAACAACTGTACTCCTCTCCCAGAAATAACACTGTTACCAGTTTACAGTATATCCTTTTCTATATATGTATATTTGTTTGCATATTTACATATGTTGGAATATATAATTGTGTTTTAAAGGGTTGAGTTTTTTAAAAAACAAAAACTGAATGTTGTACATATTGTTCTGCAAATCTCTTTTGATTTAGTGATATATCTTGGAGTTCTTCTAGGATTTCTCTGCTGGAGTCGTCTTCTTTATCCTGAAACATCAATTTTCCCGTTTACGAAGTCATTCTCAACAGCGCACAACTTTGTCCCATTTCTCTGTTCTCCATTTGTTGAGAATTGTCTATATTTTCCCTCTCTGCTTCCTCACCACCTATTCTTTTTCTTTTTTTTTTTTTTTGAGAAATTTAAGAATTACCTAAAAGTTAAAAGAATGTAATAAATATCTATATTCCCACAACCCGGAATGAATAACCCTTAGCATTTTCTCATATATGCTTCCAGTCTAAAGATGCTAAAGCATCTTTAAATCACTGCTACATTCCCATCCTCCTCTCCTGCTTTGCAGAGGCAACTTTTATCGTGCGTCCTTCCAGTCCATTTTTTATGCTTTTATGTACATGTTTATATATCCGTAACCAATATATAGTATTTTTGTGTGTGGGTTTTAATTTACTTTAATGATACCATTCAATGAATTGTTTTTCTTAACTCAACATTATGTTTTTGAGATATAATTGCCAACCTTTTGGTTAGTAGCGGAGCTGTTAACCACCAGGGCTCCAATTTATAGATACAATTCATTTCTATTGCCTACTGTATAGTATTTTTTCATATGTTTATTTATCTATTTCCTATTGTCTTCGTTATCTAGTGCTGCTGTAACAGATATACCACAAATGGATGACTTTAACAAACAAATGTATTTTCTCACAGCTTAGGAGGCTCGAAGTCCAAATTCAGGGTTCTGGCTCTAGGGGAAGGCTCTCTGTGTCAGCTCTGGGGAAAGGTCCTTGTCTCTTCAGCTTCTGTTTCCTGGTTCCTTGGAGATCTCCATGTGGTTTGGCATCTATCTTCCCCCATCTCTGCTTCTCTTGCTTGCTTGTTTAATCTCTTTTATATCTCCAAACAGCTTGACTTAAGACACACCATAAACTGATACCGTGTTCACTAACATAACAAAGAAAACTCATTCCCAAATGGGATTATAACCACAGATATAGGGGTTAGGATTTACAATACATATTTTTGGGAGATACAATTCAATCCATAGCACCTATAATGGACCATTTATATATTCACCAATTTCTTAAATATTAAAAACAATATGCTTACCAATATTAACTCAAAATAGACTAAAGTACTAAATTTAAGAGCTAAAACTATAAAATTCTTAGAAGGAAACACAGACATCAATCTTCATGACCTTAAATTAGGCAATAGTTTCTTAAATATGACAGTAAAAGCACAAATGTCAAAAGAAAAAAATACAAATTGGACTTCATCAAAATTAAAAACTTTTATGCTTCAAAAGATACTATCAAGAAAGAAAAAGGCCTCTATACATTGCTTTTCCTACATCTTTCATAAAAGTGGGATCATACAATATTTGTCCTTTTGTGACTGACCTATTTCATTCAGCATAATGTTTTCAGGGTTCATCCATGTTGTAGCATATATCAGGACTTCATTTCTCTTTTTGACTGAGTAATATTCCATTGTATGCATATACCACATTTTATTTATCCATTCATCTGTTGATGGACATTTAGGCTATTTGCACATTTGGGCTATTGTGAATAGTGCTGCAATGAACATTGGTGCTTCATTTGCGTTTCTGCTTTCAAGACTTCTGGTTATATACTGTCTTAGTCTCTTAGTGCCACTAGGACAGAAATTCCACAAGTGGGTGGCTTTAACTATCAGAAATTTATTTTCTCACATTTTAGGAAACTGGAAGTTTGAATTCAGGCTACCAGCACTAGGGAAAAGCTTTCTGTCTCTGTGGCCTCTAGGGGGAAGGTCCTTGTCTCTTTTGTGCGTCTGTTCCTCGGTTCCTTGGCAATCTTCATGTGGCAAGGCATCTATCTTTCCCCATCTGTGCTCGCTTGCTTGTGTGACTAATCTTGTCTTTTATATCTCAAAAGTAATTGATCTGAGACACACCCAATACTGAGACAGTCTCATTAACATAAAAAAGAAAAACTCTATTCCCTAATGGGATTATACCCCTAGGTATAGATTATTACACATATTTTTATGGGACAGAATTCAATTCATAACATATACCTCGGAGTGGAATTGCTGAATCATATGGTAATTCTGTGTTTAACTTTTTGAGAAACTGCAAACTA